CAAAGACGACGACGACAAAGACGACGAAGACAACAAAGAGACAAAGACGAGATGGCTGTGACGACGAGGAGTTGCACCGACGAGTGGCAGCGACGACGGATAAGGAAGGGCTGAAAAAGAGAAAACAAATCCGCCGACCCCTTGTGGGTCTTCAGGCGTGTGAGATTGTTCACCCCCCATCATCCCCCCCCATGGACCCCAAACCGGGATTTGAGCCCCCCCCTGGCCCCGGGTGGCCCCGGACCGAACTCACCCGGGGCGGTCTGGGCTCTCTGGGCTCGCTCTTGAGCTGCACGACAGCACCTGACGCCTCCCAAGAAGCCGCCAAGACGGTCCACGAGAACCCAAAGTCGCCGAAAGATCGTTCCAAGACGCACAAGATGAGCTCAAAACGGCCCAAGAGGGCGCCAGGACACCCCACGAAGCCTCCAAGAGGCCTCCCAGGAAGCACCAAAGAAACCAAAATCTTGAAACTCCCTTTGGGAAACGTGCATTGTCAGCATATCCAACTTGTTAGCCTTCACGGCGTTGAAAACCGTCCACGAGGCCCCCACGAGGCCCCTAGGACCACCCCAAGACGGCCCACGAGGCTCCCAGGAGGCCCCAAAGACAACCCAAAAGAACTCCAACGTGGCCCAAGAGGCGCCCTAGACGGCCCAAGAGAGCTCCAAGACGGCCCCAAGAAGGGCCCAAGAGAGGGACCACGAACCGCGAATTCTAGCGCTCCGCCCAACGAAGCTCTCCGAAGGACCCAAGAGGCCCCCAAGCGGACCCAAGAGGCCCCCATGAGGCACCCAAGAGGCCCCAAGGAGCCCCCAAGAGGCCCAAAAGAAGCCCCCAAACGGCCCCAAAGACCCTTCGAAACTGCCTCGAAGAGGCCCGCGAGAATCCTCGCCACGAGATCCCAACGGACATCCCAGAGCGTGCCACACACTACCCTGAACTTGACGCATTCTTGATACTTTTCCTCGCAATACGATAACGGCAGCGAGGCAACAGGCAAGATGTCGAGCGCCGTGTCATGATTCGGACAAGCCTAGTGGAATGCAGTCCTGGAGGCGCAGTACTTTATAGAGGGGCCGGTGGATGTGACGCAAGCCTATAGAATAAGCAAGGGGAGGAGGAGGGGGAGGAAGAGGAGGAGGAGGAGGAGGAGGAGGAGGAAGAGGAGGACGAGGAGGAAGAGGAGGAAGGAGGAGGAAAAGAGAGGCAATGAGGAGAAAGGTGAGGAGGAGGAATAAGGAGGGGAAGGAGGCGGAGGAGGAGGTCGAGAAGGAGCAGGAGCAGGAGGAGTAGAAGGAGCAGGCGCAGAGGGAGAAGGAGGAGGAGGAGGAGGAGGAGGAGGAACAAGAGGAGGAGCAGCAGCAGGAGCAAGAGAGGAGAAGGAAGCGGAAGAGGAGGAGGAGGAGGAGGAGGAGGAGGAGGAGGCGGAGGAGGAGGAGGAGGAGCAGGAGAAGGGGCAGGAGGAGGGGCAGGCGGAGGGCCAGGAGCAGCCAGCACGAGGAGCGGGCCCCCGGGGCACCTGTCCGGCCCGCAGGGCGCGCCGGCCCCCAGCGCCTCTGGCCGGGGGGCGCCGCGGCCGCTCGGCGGCCGCTCGGCGGCCTCTGCGGTCGGCCGCCGCGCAGCGGCCGTCGCCGTGGCCGTCGCCGTCGCCGTCGAGGCTCAAAGTTCTTCACAGTTTGGGATACTTTTAGGGTTTTAAGGCCTTCGGGGGGCTCCAAAGACCTCCTCCACTCCTCTCCCAGAGGAAGAAACCAAAAAAAAAAAAAAAAAAAAAACTACGACTGCGCGTGTCCCTGCCAAAGAAAAAACCGTTGGGCGCGAGCCCGGAAGACCAATCACCGGTGTTGATGAGACCCTCGTCGATCTTCGATCGTCGGTCTTGATCGGACGGTCGTCGTCGATCGACGATCGTAGGCCGTGATCGTCGGTCGTGATCGTCGGTCGTCGGTCGCCGTCGAGCCACGGCCCCATCCGGCGCGCAATTGGCGAGGGGCCTCCGCGCTCGGCAGCTGCGAGGGCCGCGAGGGAGCCTCGTCGTCCACGGCGGCCTCTGCGGCCGGCCCTCGTCCTCGCCTTCGTCATCTCTCCGATTCGTCCTCGTCGTGCTCGTGCTCCTCCTCGGGCTCGTCCTCGTGCTCGTCCTCGTCCTCGTCTCGTCCTTCTCCTCCTCCTCCTCCTTCTCCTCCTCCTCCTCCTCCTCCTCCTCCTCCTCCAGCTCCTCCTCCCAGTCCTCCCTCCTCCTCCTCCCTCCTCCTCCTCCTCCTCCTCCTCCTCTCCTCCTCCTCGTCCTCCACAGTCTCCTCCTCATCCTCCTCCTTTCCTCTTCCTCTTCCTCCTCCTCTTCCTCACCTCAGTCCCTCCTCCTCCTCCTCCTCCTTCTCCTCCCCTCGATGTTGTCCTCCCTCCTCCTTCTCCTCCATCCTCCTCTCCTCTCCTTCGCCTCCTCATCCTCCTCCCCTCCTCCTCCTCCTCCTCCCCCCCCTTTCCCTCCTCCTCCTCCTCCTCCTACCCCTCTCCTCCCCCTCCTCCTGCCTCTTCCTACCTTCTCCTCCTCCTCCTCCTCCTCCGCCGCCTCCGCCCGCCTCCGCGCCCTGGCCTCCTCCTCCTCCTCCTCCTCCTCCTCCTCCTCCCCTCCTCCTCCTCCTCCTCTTCCTCCTCCCTCCTCCTCCTCCGCGCTCCTCCTCCTCCTCCAGTCCTCCTCCTCCTCCTCATCTCCTCCCTCTCCTCCTCCTCCCCTCCTCCTCCTCATCATCATCATCATCATCATCATCATCACCATATCATCATCATCATCATCTATCATCATCCTCATCATCATCATCATCGCATCAGCATCATCATCATCATCATCATCATCATCAGTCGATCATCATCATCATCCATCACCCCCCAAAAATCCAAAATTCGGCTCCCCCCCACCCCCCCCCCCCCCCCCCCCCCCCCCCCATCATCTCATCGTCATCATCATCATCATCATCATCATCATCATCATCATCATCATCATAATCAGCATCATCCTCTTCCTGCTCTTCCTCCTCTTCATCCTCGTCCTCGTCCTTGTCCTCGTCCTCTTCCTCCTGCTCCTCCTCCTCCTCCTCCTGCTCCTCCTCCTCCTCCTCCTGCTCCTCCTCCTCCTCCGCCACCGCCGCCGCCACCTCCGCCGCCCTGTTCCTCCTCCTCCTCCTCCTCATCCTCCTCCTCCTCCTCCTCTTCCTCCTCCACAGTCCTCTTCCTCCTCCTCCTCCTCTTACTATTAGTATGATGTGTCTTCGTCTTAGTATTGACAATAGTGTTCGTATTAGTCTTATTGCCATGTTTATTATTACTATGGTAGTATTACTGTTTTTTATTAGTAGCCGTATGGTTAGTATTATTGATGCTACGATTAATCGTATCATGGTTCTTCTGGGTAATCGTGTTACGATCATTATTAATGTTATTAGTATACTCAATGGTATGAGGATTCTTAGTAGTATTGCTCCATTCATAACAGTACTATTATGAGTAGTCGTCTTTCTATTCGGAGTCTGATTAGCCTGATTCAATATGGTTCGTAGTCATCGCATTATTCGTACTGTTCGTATTTCCTTGGTTAGTAGTAGCGATAGTATCATTCTTAGTCGTTGCATTAGTAATAGTATTCTGAATCGTATTAGTAGTATGAGCATTCGGATTAGTATGAGGCGTGTTCGCAGTAGTATTCATAGTTTTCAGAATATGAACATTCGCCGTATTAGTATAGGTATTACGTGTAGTAGGATTGGTCGGCTTCGCACTAGTATTCGTATTAGTAGTAGTGTTCGTCTTATGTGCGTTAGTATGATTCGTATTCGTGTGCTTACTCTTCCTCGAATTATTAGTATTGTTGGTAGTCGTAGGTGGTTCATTGCTCTGCTTAGTCTTCGCAGTACTCGTTGTCTTAATAGTGTTAGTGTTCGTCTTATGGATATTATGATTCGCGGTTTCGTCTAAAAATTATAATAATTCGGATTATATGTCGTAGTACGATTCGTCGTTTTCTTCTTCAACTTCGTATTACTATTCCTCTTCCTCCTCCTCATCTTCCTCATCCTCCTCCTCCTGCTCCGCATCCTCCTCCTCATCCTCCTCCTCCTCCTCCTCCTCCTCCTCTCCCTCATCATCCTTCTCGTCTTCCTTCTCCTCCTCTTCCTCCTCCGCCGCCTCCTCCTCCTCCTCCGCCTCCTCATTCGTCTTATCCTCTTCCTCCTCCTCATCCGCCTCATCCTCCTCCTCCTCCTCCTCCTCCTCC